TCATTCACCGCCAGAGGGCAGGCCTGAGGCATGTGCAAGGTAGGGAATGCAAGCATCACCTGGGAGGATGTCTGCTGGCTGGAGGTAAGAGGAGAATGCCAAGCTTACTAGATGCTGTGAAGTGCACACTTTCCTCTGGGGCCCATGGGCTTGGACAGCTGAGCCTCCTCCCACATGCGTTCACAGCTTCCACTAGGTTGACCGCTAGTCGTACAATTCTAGCAAAACCTGCATCTAGCTCAGAGGGCCAGTCACCCCTGACCATTATGGGTCACCACTCTGTCCCTGCCCCCCTCTCCCCCCCAGTAAAGAATGCACCACGGGGGGAATGTCTTGGGCAGGCTTGCTCCGGCAGGCTTGGACCCGTCAGCCCGCCCCTGCCTGCCCCTCTGCAGACTCTGCCCCTTCAGGGTTACATGCACAAAGAAAGCACCAGATGGCCGGTTCCATCAGCAGAGAAGAAGGCGTCTCTTCCAGCGTAAGGGTCCTACTCGATGCCTTCAGTTTCTGGCAAAGCATTCCAGTACCTTCTCTTTGCCACCGCGTGAATGTTAACTTCTCTGCAGGCTGCATGTGAGGCCACAGCCCTTGGCGTCAGTGCTGAGCAATGCGGGGGCTCAGGGCTTCTCTTGGCCACTCTAGGCTCCATTCTTTGTCAGCAATGTCTGTTTTGGAGTTTCTCTGCTCTATGACATCCTGAACGTTACACTTCTGCAGAGGCCCAGGTGGGGCCACAGAAGCAGAAATGGTTACTCCTGCTTCCCAAAGGGGGAAGATGAAACCAAGGACAGTGGGGGCCTGGTCCCAGACGGACACGTACTGCGCAGGGTGCTGAGGAACTGAAAGCAGCCAGTCACCCAGTGGCGCCTGAGTGACAGCACTCCATCTCCCACCCCAGCTCCCCCAGGATGGATGACGCGAACATCTTAATACCTTCTGGAGGTCACCCCTTGGACACCCATCCATGCATCCCATCCTTCCTGAACGCTCACCCCCTTTGGCCCTACATGAGGGTAAGACACGAGTAAGGCTTTTCAAAGAGTGCCCAGTCTCTGTGAGCTCCAACTTTAAATGGAAGGCAAGTTATGCTCACTTAGTGATGATATAGGACTGGGATTTTTTTTTTTAGGCTAAATATCTTTTTATTTTTTAAGTTACTTCACATTTATTATTTTAGAAATACAACACATTGAGCTTCATCGAAAATACCACATCAATAGCAGGGCACACAGTTCCATGCCCTGCACAAAGCAACCACTTGGCAATTTCTGCTAACTTACAAGCCAGTGGTCGGCAAACTCATTAGTCAACAGAGCCAAATATCAACAGTACTTCTTCAAAATAGACTCGTCCAGGCCAAAAACCGACTTCTGTGCATGGGCCACGAAGTTTCAATCGCACTGTATGAGCGCCCGCACGTGGTATTTTGTGGAAGAGCCACACTCAAGGGGCCAAAGAGCTGCATGTGGCTCGCGAGCTGCAGTTTGCCAACCACCTATACCAGTGATGGCGAATCTATGACACGCATGTCAAAGGTGACACGTGAACTCATTTTTTTGGTTGATTTTTCTTTGTTAAATGGCATTTAAATATATAAAATAAATATCAAAAATATAAGTCTTTTTTTTTTACTATGGTTGCAAATATCAAAAAATTTCTATATGTGACATGGCACCAGAGTTAAGTTAGGGTTTTTCAAAATGCTGACACGCCGAGCTCAAAAGGTTCGCCATCACTGACCTATACTATAGGTGAAGAATACCATCATATTATAGGGTAGGTGGTATAATACGATAAATGGCATAATATAGGTATGCACAAAGAATATTGGGAGGGTGGAGAGGGAAGGCTTTAAGAAGTTGGTGCTGAGAAGAAGTGACTGGAGATGCCTTGTACGGTTCTGGAGTTCATTTTAGGACTGGATGCTCTCTCCCTAGGTTTGATGGTGCGTGGCAGTTTGTTTAGGGAAGGTGTAGTTTAAAATCCAGGCAGCTACACCCATGAAAAGAATAATAAGCTGCATGATAACAAGGTTCTCTTGCACTTTTAGGGACTTGCAGGAGAGGAGCTGGGCTGCCAAGAAGGAAGACCCAGCAAGGCCACAGTGCTCAGAGCAATGCCTGAGTTGGAGATATTGTTGATGTCACAGCTCCCTGTGATGGTGACATGGAAGAATCTTCTTTTCTTGTCATAGCAATGGCAGCATTTATTTATGTACCCAATGTTGAGGGCCCCACCATGGACCAGGTTCCTGGGAAAAGAGGAATGCAAAGCTTTTAGCTCCTAGGAGTCATGCTCTAATAGAAGAAATGGACAGATAATTACAATATAGCAGGATGTATGTTACAGTTGAGGTGAATATAAGAGGTTGTACTTAAGACTTTAGGAGACAGGATGAGGGCAGACTTTATTGAGGAGATGATATTTAAGCTCATTTTTAGCGGAAGTGTTGAGGGCAAGGGAGGGAGGTGAAGGGAACAGTACAGAACATGGCACAGATTTGGGAAAGGGCAGTGTGTGTGTGTTGGTGCACCTCTGCATGCACCCTGAGCATAGGATGAGGGCATGGGTGTCAGGGATGGGAGATGCAGCTGCAGAGGTCAGAGTCTGATACAGCACCTGGGTAGACCTCACTCCTGCTCATCGATCTGTTTAGGCAGGTTCTCCTTCCCCCAGAGTCTGGGGCCCAGACCACCAAAATGCCAGGAGAAGAACCATTCCATTAAATGGCTCTGTCATTTCGTCATCACATCTTGCTCGTTGTAGGTGCTGGGGGAGGAGTATGGGAAGGCAGGGGCTTTGGGAAGGGGTCATAATGTGGAATAGGCCATCTTACAACGCCTTTTCAGGTTTGACATGCATTTAATTTTTTAAAAATGTGGAAAAATCATACCCAAGAACAGGCTCAAATATTTGGTAGAGGGACAATGATCTGAAACTTTACAGAAACTTTTCATGGAATGCTTGTTTAAAGACAGTATAAAAAGTGTATAGGAACAAGTTTTCAGTGTAGAGTAGGTGGAAAATTCTTCCCCCGCCTCTACTTTTCTGCGTTGCATGGAGCGGTAAGTATGGTAAGAAATGCAGGTTGCTGGCAGTTCTTTTCCTTGGTCAATTAAAATTATTTGCTGTCTCCTATGTGCCAAATACTCTTAGGCTCTATCTTAGAACAGACCAATCAGTTTAAACCTTACATCTTTGGATATTTATGAGTGGAAATGTCAATTATGGACTAAGAACTTCATGCCAATGGCTATAAAAATAAGTGACACAAAAGCTCTTAGGAGCTTTTATTGCAAAGCAAAATATTCAATGGAAAATTGGCAATCAACTAGATATAGTTAAATCTGTTAAGATCAAACAATTCAGGAGCAGGAAAACATAAAAGAATATAAACAAACAATATAATTAGAGATTATTTGGTTTTAAATTAATTTGAATCTCATTATTTACTTGCTTGCCAAGTGGCATTTTCTTGTGATTTAATGACACCTGGCGCCCTGCCACTCTACACCCCCAGCTGAACCCGCTTCATGCATTCTCAGACTGTGGTTTGAACCCCTGCAGGCTGACATCCATACTTGCTGATATCAGCTCACTTTTCTCTTAGCACAGCGCATGGTTGGAGAAGGAAGTGCTTCTATTTTATTTTCAAGATGCACAGCTAATTGGAACCTGAATGAATTAACCAGTTGGGGAGCTTCCTGCATGCCTCACCCCCCTTTTCTGGGACTTTAGAATTTACAGGAATGAGTGAGTGGGTGCCTTTCACACTTTGTGAACAGATAACAATCCAAAGTGGCCAGATGCAGAAAGACATCAGAACAGGGGCCCACAGTAGCCCCAGGATTATTCTGTATTTATCTGGCTAATCTTTGCTGAGCAGGTGTGAGCCAGTTAAATAGATGCCTTTTTCTAATGGCTGCTGGACGGCCTAGAAATTGCAGGCCCAGCTATTGTTTGATCTCAAGCAGAGAAATCCAAAGCCATGGCCGCCTCTGGTATGAGCCCTTGCACCTGCCCGGGCAACCTTCCAAAGAGGCGCCCAGGTATGTTGCCCGGGATCCACGGGACCAGCGTTTTCTTCCGCAGCGACTCAGGCCGCACCTGTCCAGGTGCCTCCGGCGCCTTGTGAGTGGCTAGCATCTCTGGCTGGGGAGTGTTTTTAACTCGGATTTCTGGAGGCTTTCTCCATGACTCAGTTTCCCCTTCTTTTGGGACATAAGCTTTCATTTCTCTCATTCCTTCTGCTGCTTCTCCCTCCACCTCGCTTTCTGCCTCATTAGGTCGTGTGGAGGCCTGTCTATAGCACTGAAAATTCTGGGGGCTCCTTGGGCGCTGTAATTCCGATAGCTTTTTCTCAACAGATTTGCAGGCACCAGAGAAATGAGACCAACAGATGGGCCTCGGTGGGCGTGGCTGTTAGAGAACAGGGCCCCGGACTGAGCCAATTTTGCCTAAACAGGCAGCTGCTGAGCCTCCTGCCCCCAAGTTCCTCGCGGGCCGAAGGCACAAGGGCCATCAGGGCGGGGTTTGCATCCCCGGCGGCGGACTGCGGCCTCTCCAGCCGCCCCTTCCCTACTCCGACTTCCCAGCTGCCAGGCCACGGGGGCCGCAGCCCGGCGCTCGCCCTCGGCTAGGTTTCCAGCCTCGCCTCCGGCCCGCACCCCTCCTCGCCCCGGGGAGCCCTGCGGACGCCGCGCCGCCCCGCCCCGCCCGCAGGCCCCGGTCCAGCCGCCCCTCTGCGGGGCCGGGCGGCGCCGCGGCGAGCCCTCTCCCTTCCCTCCGCTCGCTGCCATGTCAATTCCCCCGTCGACTCCTGGGCGGAGGCAGGACGAGCCTTCGCGAAAGGCAAGGGCGGCGGGAGGAGAGCTCGGGCGCCCCTCCCGGGCGGCGCGGCGCCGGCCGGTGGTGCAGTCGCGCGCTCGCCGCCAGCGAAGCCATTGGCTCGGCGCAGTCACCCCACGCGGGGCCGCAGCGGCGGCCTCCGCGGATTGGCGCGCGGGCGGGCATCCACCGGGGCGCGCGCGGACGGGTGCGTGCCGCTCGGGCTCCAAGGCAGCCCACCGACTCCGGGCTGGGCTCCCCCTGTTCCTAAGGAGCACCCGCCATTTCCCCTGCGTTGCTGCTGCTGCTGCTGCATTTGGGGCTCCCGCAGCCACTATCCCCGAGGCGCTGGCCCGAAGAAAGGGCGCGAAAGGCGCGCCCCCCGGCCGGCCGCCCGCCCCGGCCGCCGCCCTCCGCCGCTCTCCGCAGCATTTCGCGCTCTCGCGCCGCTCCCCTCCCGCCCGGGCATTTGCATGTCCCACGATTGTGGCCAATCAGGGCTCGTCTCTCCCGAAGCGGATGGCTTTTGCCTGAGAGGAAAGGGAGTGGCTGGCGGCGCATGCGCCGGGTGGCCGACTCGAACCGAGGCTTTTATTGCCATAGTTTATTTCCACCCCCTTCCCTCCTGTTCTCTCCCTCTCTTTCTTTTTTTTTTCCGCCCTGGCTGGGCTGTGTTGGAGGAGAGGAAGAAAGAGAGACAGAGGATTGCGTTGATCTCTTACGTTCCTGGAATTTGTTATCAGCAAGACCAACTAAGCTGTTGCACCTTTTTCAATTCTGAAACAAAATAAAATACCAACTCTCTTTTTTGGCATTTTTTTTTTTTTGCTTTAAAGCTGCCCTCTTGAAATTATTTTTTTTTCCCGGGAGAGAGATGTCTTATCAGGGGAAGAAAAATATTCCACGCATCACGGTGAGTTTGGCACTTGGGAAATTGTGGTCGGCCAGTAACCTTTGTGGCACAGAACATCTAAGGAATTTTTTTTAAGGAGGGGGAGGAAGAGGGACCTAACTGCCCCCCCCCCCCCCCGTCCCCGTTACTAAAGAAGGCGATCGTGGTGGCAGGAGACGCAATCATAGAATTATGAGCCACATGATTTGTAAGACATTAAAATAGCGTGAGTGCATTGAGGTCGTCCTGGGTAGCGCGCCAGAGCCGCTGTATCCTTTTATTGTCAGAGCGAGATGCTGCAGTGCCGGCCCGGGGTGTAAGCAAATGGATGCCAGATTGAATATGCGTGGTTGGAGCGCGGATATTGTTCTCCGGCTGCGTGCTGCGAGCTGGGCTCCAGGAGCTGGACAGGGGAATGGGAAGTGGATGGAGCTCCCTGTGCCTCCCGCCCCCGCCATAAAGGGCTTTCTGGAGCCTTCCTCCGGCTCCCGAGAAAAAGGGGCAGGTTTCAGCCCGGCGGCGGACTGACAGCAGAGGGATGCTGCAAGGGCAGGGTGCACCAGGCTGATGTGGAAACGGGAAGGAAAAAAGGGACGCGGTGATGAGCAGAGAAGGGTGGGGGCCAGGCGTGGGCTTTTTGTTGACCAGGGGCCGGTGCTGGTGGCCCTCTTGGCTTTCTCGCCCTCTGGTTCGGGGCTGGCTTTCTTCTGCCTCTGTCCCTTCTGCGGCCAGGAGGCGTCCGTGCTGGCGCATACAAAGCGGGCTGGGAGGGTGGGCGCCGGGGACAGCGCCGAGCCCGGCTCGCGAGGTAATGGCGCTGCGCGACGCGCGGAGCAGATGGCCCGGCCGGGCCTCGGCAGACAATGGTCCCGTTGGCCGGAGGTGTTGGCGCACTTGTGGGGCTTGGGATGCTTAGTTCGTAAATCACGAGAAAAACATCTACGCGATGAACTGGCGACGCTTCAGCGATGAACACAGGTTCTTACCCCCACCGCGCCCATCCTCTCCCCAGCTTTTCCTGGAAAAAATTTCGCTAGTCTTAGTTCTCTATCTACCTCCCCAATGAAACGCTGGGGAGGGCGGGCGGAACGCGAGGGGTATTCATTGTTATATAATGATGTGCAATTGCAATTGGCCAACCGATTGCTGGGTAGAACCCAGGGCCGAGGCCGAGACCGAGAGAATCCTTGAAAAGTGTAGATGTGTTCAGGGCCGGATCGGAGGGCGCGCTTGCCTCTGGCCTCCTCCTTAGCCGCGGGCACCCCGGCCTCCGTGGATGCACAAGGACACACCCATCCGCAGGAGAGAGATGTGGAGACCGAAGCCCGGGGGCGGGGTGTGTGCTGGAGAGGGTTTTATGGGCTGAGCAAGGCTGCTCAAGGGCGAGGGTGGGTAGTAGCTTGTTCTAAAAGGCCAGAGACCCAGGATCCCAAAGGGCCGGGCGAGGGGGACCCGATGTTCGATATTCTCCGTTAGGAGGAAGAAGTCTGGAGAGTGGGGGTGCAGAGCACATTGGCTGCAAGTCTCAAATAAATCGCTGTCTTCCTGAATGAAAAAGGCAGTTTCGTTTTGACAGTGTGGGGAGGAAAAAAATTAAAAAGCAAACAAGACTGACTTTTCAAAGAGCGCCCCCTCTACCCTTAAAATCTGGGTGCACTATGGAGGACCTACATAGCATGGTCTCCCTCCCTCCATCATCACAGCCGCCTCTTATGTAAGAAGCCTTCTGGAAGGCACAGAGTGAACAGGGCTGCTCTCTCTCTCTCTCTCTCTCTCTCTCTCTCTCTCTCTCTCTCTCTCTCTCTCCCTTCCCTCTGTTGGCTCCGGGATTCACAGTGATGGCTGGGACAGGTACCACAGCGAATGAGGGAGCAGGTGGTAAAGGGCAGGGCTTCTCTTTGCTCCCAGGCAATATTTATCCTGTCAAAGTCGGATCCTGCCGGGGAGTTCTGTGTAGCCAGAGGGAAGTGTACTGGATCAGGTGACCTTGGGCAAGTGACTTAACCTCCCCGTGCCTCAGTTTCTCTATGTGTCATGGGTTAAGAATCTCACTCCATCCACCTCACTGGATTTTGTGAAGGTTCTTACATTTAACTTATACCAGTGTAGGAATTGTTGTTGATTATTTAGTCCCATATGACTTTCCAAAGTCTACAGCAGACTGAAGTGTACAGAATTTAATGGTCTGTTTTTCAGTATGTTAGAGAAACAATAAATACTTTGTAAACCCATGTGTACATTTTTGTGTAAAAGGATCTTTCTGGGTCTCATAGTTTATGTGTTCTTCACTACACATTTGCTGTAATATTTTCTTTGGCAGGTGCTAAACATAAATAGCACTTGCCGAGAATGTTGTTTTGTAACAACTTAGAGTTAACGATTGTCAAGATGAGTGCCATTCCTTTGAAATATTTTGCATGTTAAGAGGGCAATCGGTGGTTTAGCTTGTAACATTTCAACCCAGTGTGGAATAGCACAGGTGTATACCCACTGATTTTAACGTTCCATTCCATCAAAGCCTTTGGAATAGAGATGAGTCATAATGTAACATTTTCATTATATTCTTGGCCCTCATGTGCTGCTTGTCATATGTATTTTTCACACTAATTATATTATAAGTGAATTGACAGTTTATAGTGGTGTTAGATTTAGAACTTGCCCTCTTATCTACTTTATCATAAAACTTTACCTTTTCCTTAGCAGTTTAATAGTTAAAATAGTGTGTAAGTGAAGAGGTGTTTTTCTCTCTTTGCTACAGTTGCCGTGATTTACCTCAAAATGAAATACAAATATAATGAGCAGGCTGAATTGAAACCTTGTTATGGTGGAACCTAGTGTGTTTGTGTCGAGTTCGCCATGACAACAGACTTTTGGTTAATTTTTCCACACACAAAGCTTGCCAAGAATTACTTCCCTACATGTGGGTGTTTTTTTTTTTTTTTTTTTAATGAAGTTTAGCTTAAAGCCATTAAAAAGTATTGTCTTCTGGAAAGAAGGTTTTTTGTTTGTTTTTAAATCTATGATAAGCTTTGAGCTTTACTAGCATATTTCTACTTATCATGTGTCAAATAGGTTCCTACATACAGGTTCACCATTGTCACTGAACCTTTCCAAAACTGGCTCATTTTGAGCATTAAATATACTTTGATTGATTTCAGAGCGGGAGAGAGATATTGAAACATCAATGATGAGAAAATCATTTGATCGGTTGCCTCCTGCATGCCCCCACTGGAAACCCAGCCCATAACCCGGGCATGTGCCCTGACTGGGAATCACACTGTGACCTCCTAATTCACAGGCTGATGCTCCACATGAGCCGTGCCGGCTGGTCTGAGCATCACTTTGAACAATGAAATGTGTCCTTAGCTCACTTATTTCAGAACCAACGTTCCTCCTGGTCAGGTACACATGGTGACCTTAATATGTCTTTGTTTCAGAGTGATCGTCTTCTGATCAAAGGAGGTAAAATCGTTAATGATGACCAGTCATTCTATGCAGACATATACATGGAAGATGGGTTGATCAAGTAAGTGTAACTCATATAGAAGAATCGTGTACCTTCCAGTATTCCCAAGCGTTACCTACAATTCACACACATAATATCAAGCTTTAGTGACTTCAAAGAGTGACTTAGTATCCATTTAAGCCCATTTTGATTGGTAGTAATTAGTGAATTTGAAAACTCAGATTTAGGGAATTCAAAGCCACAATTAAATGCATACCCATTTCCTAACGCATTATGTAACTTGCTATTTTTAACCCAGGTGACACAATTTCTTCTTGTTGCCAGCTCAAATACTTGGTTTAGGATCTATTGCATATATTAAAGTTTTTCCTAGAATGTAGTTGTGTGCATGTCTTGCCCAATGGAAGGACACAAATGTGAGTATACCCTTTTCTATCAAGATAGCACATCTGCTTTCTGAATCAAGAATCCAGTGGTTGGGCCAAAGGAAAACAAATTAAGTAACATAGACAAATTACTGCCTCATCCCAAGGGAATTTTAGGTTTCATTCTTTAAGTGCCAACAAACACCAGTAAGACTGCCCTTGTGTTGCTTGTGTATTGTGTTTCTAACAACAGAGCAGTTATTGCATTAGGGTATTTTTGGATTCTAGAGGGTTAAGTGAGCTGAGTACATACCAGTATCCTTGTGCCCTTCCGACTGGGACAGCTCATAAGGCTCCAGAGAAATAGCACATCTGTTTAAAGACAAACATTGCTGCAAATGACATCTTTTGAATAAGCAGCATTCATCAAGTGCTACGGCAAACCATTCCTGAGGAGTGGAAAACTGGAGTGGATGTATCTGTTGCCTAGAAACTCAAACCCTGATTTATGACCTAAAATAGGTCCTACCATTTCCACATGTAATGTTTTCTCCATGTGTGTTTGCTTATGACAGTCTCTGCTCCAGGCTCTCACATACCATGACTTGCCTGTCCCATTCCCCCAGTTAGAATCTAGCAGAAAGACACTGGCCCAGAAGTGAGCAAGCCTGGGGGCTATTTTTAGTCATCACTAATTTGATTTTGAACTTTATCAACTTCTCCTTGATTACTTTTTTCCTTAAAAAAAAAAAAAACTGTTAGAAAGATGAAGCAGAGATATTTTTTTAAACATTGGAAATGAATTCATATCCTTCAACATAATGAATATTAATTTTTCTGCCTTATCTGAGTTGCTAATGAATGCTTCCACATTTTCAAATTGTTTTAATCATAGTGTTCACTTATTTATTTATTTTTTGCTTCTCCCCTATTTTCTCTATATTGCAAAGGATTTGGCGAAAATACATGTTTGTAAAGTGCCAACAGATCTGGAGGAAATTGCTATAAGATAATTAGCTCAACTGTGTGTTCATTGAGAAAGTGCAGTGTCATTTTATGTAAATTCCTTGGGGACTTGTTATCATTTGATTTTAGGGGTTTTCTGGTAACTAAGACTCTTTGATTAGGCCTCTGGTGCCTTATTTAACTTTTGTTTTCTAGTAAGCGCTGCATTGCTTCTTAGTTGGTGGTAGGGAGTGGGGAGTGCACATATATTATGAATAATTACAGTAACTGGAAAAGTCTAGTGAACACGGGAAGGATAGGGTAGGGCTTGGTGAAAATATCTGTCAGATTTCATTTGATTCAAGGACATTTCATTTACCACCATTATCACCACCCTATTAATGTAGGCAAATAGGAGAAAACCTGATTGTGCCAGGAGGGGTCAAGACCATCGAGGCCCATTCCAGGATGGTGATTCCCGGAGGGATCGACGTCCATACCCGCTTCCAGATGCCTGACCAGGGAATGACTTCTGCTGATGACTTCTTTCAAGGCACCAAGGCAGCTCTGGCTGGTGGGACCACCATGATCAGTAAGACAGCTTACAATAATAATCTTCGCACCCGGGAACCTTTACCATGGGAAAATGAGTCTGTGTTGTTTGCCTTTTTTCTTTTAGAAGTTGCTGAACTGAGCAGTGGCTTGATCTGCCACAGAAGGGAGTGGGGGTGCGGGTGGCCAGGCAGTTGTTTTCTTACTCGCGTTTTCTCTCTAACGCTAACTTCTCCAATGGAACTTGAGAATGCGGATCTAGAGAATTGTGGTAGGATAAAGGAGTGGCTTCTTGCTTTCTCTGCCTGAGAACTTTCAGACAAAAGTTAAATTGCAAATGTGATTTGATTGTGGTTACTGTGAAAACACAGCATTCAGAGTAATCCTCAAAGCTACCAATTTTGAGCTTTTGCTCATAAGTATTTGATTCTGATTTTTAAAGAATTCTTGAGGGTGCATCTTCTCGAAATGCGGAGGGGTGCAGCACATGTTGAACCAGGAATCTCTTGTCCACTGATGAGAAAATCAGACGGGGGCAGTTCTTCCGGCCCGGATTTGACATGAATGGAATTGAGCAGTCCTTCTTGGAGAAGGACCCACAGATAATATATTTTAAAAAATTCTTTATTGTTGAGACCCACACATAATATTACTTGTCATTTAGATAAGAAAGTTGTAGTCTACAGCCATACCACCCTGAACACACCCAATCTCGTCTGATCTGGGAAGAAAACTGTGCCCATCAGTAGCCGGGTACCCTTCATGTTTTGCTCTGAAGGTTTTATGCTTTTCATTCGCCAAATCTAAAGTCTGTTTCTGGGGTCACAGCACACACGTGATGAGTTTACTTACGAATGGTCAGTTTTCAGCATGCCTACCGACTGCCCCTTTGACAGATATTTTGTTTTTGAGGAGAGAGGCAAACTGCACAGTGGCCAGCAGACACATATGAAAAAGAAAAGAAAAGATTTTATCCAAGAGTGAAAGTCAACATACAATCTGTCCGAAAAGCTAACAGAAGACTTAGCTATGTATACTTTAGGAAAACCTGTCTTAACTGGTTATTTTTCAGAATGATAGTCTCTTTACCTGTGGCTTCAGGGTCTGTCTTGAAGCTTCCTCTTTTCTATCCTACCACCTAGAAGAACCTTGCCCTCCTAGTCTGAGCTCCCCTACATTTTAAATCACATACTCACCTTCTCGCTCGCATTCTCTCTGTCCTCGTCTTCCGTGTGTCTGAAGGGTCAGAGACCACTCTCCTGTTTCAGGTTTCTCATCAGTGCCCAGAAAGAGCCTCCAAGCTTAGGCCTTCGTCTTTCTTTCTTTTAAAATATTTTTTATTTCAGAGAGGAAGGGAGAGGGAGAGAGAGATAGAAACATCAGTGATGAGAGAGAATCACTGATGGGCTGCCTCCTGCACGCCCCCTAATGGGGATCGAGCCCACAACCCGGGCATATGCCCTTGACCGGAATCGAACCCAGGCCCTTCAATCCACAGGCTGACGCTCTATCCACTGAGCCAAACCAGCTGGGGCTCATATTTCTTTCTTGCTGCACACATCACCTAACCTAGCGGGTGCATTCGCAAGGGGGCCCTCCCCCCACGCCTTGGGACTCTGGCCTCATGGGAAAGCCTGCTGTTTTGTCAGCCGTGTCTGTCAGGATGCACTTGGCCCTACTGGGCATTTCTGTCCCTCCTCCAAGGCCTGCTGGGGAGCCACACTTGGAGCTTGGAAAAGCTTGCTGTCAGCCTGCAAGGTCAGGTCAAGGTTATAGTCTGCCTCTGGTGTGGATTCATATGGGGTCCCTGTAGGTCCCAGCATTGGTCACCAATTGTTAATAAGCCACAACTAGTCCTTCCTGAGGGAGTGGCCAGTGGCGCCGGCCCCTGGAGGAATTGCTGGGCCGGAACCCTCTGTGGTGGAAGTGTCCCCAGTTCTGGTCTCTCTAACACTAACTTGCTGTGTGACCTTGGCATGTCTTCTCAGTTCTCTGGGCTTTAGCTGCTCATCGGCACAGTGAAGGGTGTGCACTAGATGGCCCTGGGGTTCTTTCTGGCTCCTGCCTTGGAGCTCAGAGACAGTTTTCCTCTAATAACATGCCTTTTGTTCAATAGATACAGAAAATTCTGTTTTTTTTCTCAGACATCCTTGAAAGACCCCATCAGTCATTCCTGAATGTGCTTCTGCACTCCTCACTCTGGGCCCATTCTTGGCCCCTCTCCTGCTTCTTGTCCCTTTTGTGCCTTCCCTTTCCCGCCACCTTCACCAGGTAGGCATATCCCTTCTTGCCAACGCCCTGCCTTCTCTCTTGGGCCTTCCTTCTCAGTGGCTGTGAGCTTCTCTTCCTTCACTTCAGGTGGTTGCTTCTGTGCAGGGACAAGGGACATCCTCATGAGCCTAGCACCTGGCCCAGGGGCCCGGAATAGTCAGTAGATGGTCTAATGGCAGATTGGAATGAAGGAGCAATGAGCAGTCAGACTGCCTGCCCTGCTCAGCTGGGCAGAATGTGATCAGATTTTAATGCAGGTGTGGGAGGCATTAAAGAGCAGGGGGATTTAGTGAGCAAACGCCAAAGAATAAAAGTTATCAGAAGTGGCAAGGATGTGGTCAGTTGTCCCACCCCAAACTCCACTGCTTTTACATCCAGAGAAAAATGTTAGCTACACTTACAGGTAACCACCGTGGTTACTGACCTCCATAGAATTTCCACTGGCCTGCCCGTCCTCCCCTCAGGAGATAAGCGGTAATCATGCCGATGAGGAAACCGGGATTTTTTCCTGCTGGCTGGTCATACTTTCTGCATTGCTTCAAGTGACTGGGTGGCCTGGGCATGCTTTTCAGAGAAGGAGCCTTGCACAGAACCAGCTTAAGGAGGTAACTTCATCGGTATCCACGATCTGCTCCTTTGGTGAGCTCGGAGCTTCTTTAATCACTACCGAGGCCAGAAAGAAATGCTTAGAGATTCAAGTGCAAACTTGCAGAAACAAGCCGTTGAAGTAAGCAGTTTGGCACAACGAAGCCTGCACCTCTTCCTCCCATCTTTCTGGCTTTCTCCAAGCCATGTCACCTGCCCCTTTCCATGTGTTTCCCAGGTCAAGGGTCTGGGGGTGTCATTTCTCTCTGACATGGCACGGCCCGCAGAGGAGAAGGCAGCCGAATAGTCCCAGTTTAAAAATGGAGGTGACGCGTCAGCAGCAGAAAATAATATTATTGCCGCCAAACAGAGCCGTCTATTGAGACTTGCATAGTGAGACCTTTGTCTGTGGCACTCAGCACAGGGCAGAAGGAATGCCCTTTGCCCTTTCCATCCAGTGATGGCAGAGGTCCAGACATGCCCTGCAGGCAGCAACCAGACTGGCTGAAGGGTCCCGGAGGTGGCACGGGTGCTGCTTTCCAGCGGTGTTACGATCATCATCATTAAGACCCCAGAGTCTCCTGGAAAGCAGGTGGGGAAAGTTCTCTGCATTTTAAAGAGGGGGAGACTGAGGCCAGAGGGAAGGGCGTAGCTTGCCAACACACCCTGTGCTTTAGGTGACAGGTATGGAGTACACACCACCACCTGCTGGATGACTTGACTTTAAGCTTCAATCGCCTCAACTGCAAAACGGGGAAAGTTGTTTCAAATACTGACTTGGAGGCCTCACAGCAGCACCCGGCCGTAGTAGTGAGCACTCGGAAGTGATGTTGGTATTACCCACCTCACTTAAGGTGCCAGCAACCTCCCCTCCCTGTCGACACCCCCACTCGCCCTCTACTTTCTCAGCAGAGCCAGGGGCTGCAGCTGCAGAGGGTCTGACCGAGCATCTGCTGGGAGCAGGGCTTCTCCGAGCAGGTCAGCAGACTGTTCCCGGTGTCACAGTCTGGGTTGCATCTTAAAACATTCATTTCCTGAGCCCCACCCGACCTATTGAAGCAGAGAGAGCCTGCGGGTGGAACCTGTGAACCTGCATTGGGGTCGGTGATTGCTGTTTGAAAGTGTGGATCTCGGGAGGTGGGGGTCCATGCCGACTCTGTGGATTCTAGATCTCCAAGGAGCGGGAGCCACAGCCCAGAGGAGAGCCTGGCTATCATTTCTGCTAACCTGGGCACAGCATGCCCAAGGGACTTCCTCCCCTCCGCCCGGGTGCCACCCAGCAGAGATGAGGACGGGACTGGAGCACAGAGAAGGCGAGGACAGAGAAGGCTGCCAGCTGGGAAGCCCTCTTCCTGAACTCCGGACTGTCATTTACCTACGGGGTGTGGCTCCTGGGTGTGCCTCAGGCACCTCCATGCAGCCATCCCCAAGCAGACGCACCATTTCTCCCATACTCCTGCCGCCCAGCCTCAGAGAGGGCTGTCCCCGCTGTCATGCTGGTTTAGGCCCACAGTCACCCTGTGCTGAATCGAGTCAGTTTTTTCCGTTCTCTCTGGCACCCATTGCTTCACTGCCCCTGACTCAGACCTCTGTCACCTCCTCACCTTCTGAGGCGTCTCCCTGCCCGCCCCGGCTCTGCAGCTTGGGCTCGTCCGGCACATGCTGAACCTGACTCCCTCCTCCGGGACCCTCCGTGGCTCCTGCACCCAGAACGCAGCCCAAGCGCAGGGCCCTCCGTGACGTGGCCCCGTCCTGCTGCTCAGCCTGGCTCACTTTGCCACCTCAGTCAGAATGCCCTTCCCCCTTCCCTCTGCCCGCGGGAATCTTTGTTACCCTTCTAGGCCCAGCCCAGGTGCCACTCCATCCCAAAGCCTCTGCTCAGCCCCCTTCCTGGAAATCTGCTGCTGCTTCTTGGCAGCTAGGCAATCATTGGGTTTTTATCCACGGCCCCTAAGTCATCATCCTGTGTTACAGTTTGATCAAGGCTCTTCTGTCTCTTTCATTTGAATATTCCCCACCCACCCAGCCCTGCTACTCCTGAGGCACTCTGTTACTGCCTGCTGCTGGATGGATGGGTGGATGGACACACTAACAGGACTTGGTTTTCTGCTTCATCTGAATGATGCCAGAAGCCTGCGAATCCTGGGATGGGAGGAGGGTTTATAGTCTGATGTTTGCAGCCTC